GGGGGGCGCGGGGCGCGGCGCGGCGGAGCCTTCACGGGCGGCGGCGACCACAGTCTGCCTCGGGGTCATTTTTCCCGTGGTACATTCCTAGCGGTTTTCAGGAATTAACAAGCCTTTTCATTTTCATTCCTTTCTAAATTGTCCTAATTGCTGAGTGGATTTACCTGCGTTACTTGACGAACAGCGCACTGTGGTCAGCCTCAGGAAGTCTACAATGATTTAACCTCTGAAAACCATCTAAGGTAAAAATAAAACTTTCTTATGTCACATAATTCATATTGAAGGATCAGTTGTAAATGTCATAAGTTTAAAAGGAAATGATCTTTTATGGTAAGCTAACAAACAGATTTAGGGTTGGTAACTACAAATGAATTACTTTATGATGGTGTCGCTCACAAGTTGTGTCAGGACAGCATCAGATACTGGGTTTTCAGAACAAAACTGCATGAAGTCCCACGGGTCTCACAATAACGTCTTGGAGGACCATCACTCGGGGATTCCTCAGCTTTCAAAGTGACTGAGCACGTTTTCAGAGGCATAAGACATTCATTGTTCTCAACCGCCGTTCAGGTATCTCAGCATTTCAGTTTATAATGAATAATTTTGTCATCCCTCTTTAATTTGCTCATATTTCTAAAAGCTTTGGAATGTTACTGAAGAGTACAGATAATAAAATCTTGTGGAAGATGACTAATATGCAGCCTGATACATATGCTGTGACTCACACTGGCCAAAGTAAACCTCTGTTCAAACTAGTTTTGAGTTCAGATCTACTTAAGACATTGGAAATCTTTCAGTTATTATGGAAATGGCTCCAGTTCCTGCTCCAGCTGTTCATGTGAAAAAAATTACAGCTAACTCATTTTAGCATGTTATGTTAAGGATCTGTTAAAAAAATATTCATTGCGGGGGGTGGGGGGGGGGAGGACACACACGACTATATCTAGACCAAGGGGGGCAAGAATGTACAAATCAAGGGACAGCCCATAGAAGCATTGCTCTCTTGTGCAAATAGTTGCAGACTCCATGTGTGTAGTACTGTATAAATTGATTTTTAGGTCCACCTCAGTAGTGGTCTATGTAATTGATTCTGATCAGTGTTCAGCCTAGTCATAGTTTTGCTTTGCCTCGTGATTCAGGAGCATTCTGAGTGTCTGTGACCACAGCTTTCCACCCTCCTGCATCAGTTAGCATATACTGTTCATTTTCCTTGCTTGCCTTGCACCCCATTCTCTGCTGCTTCTTGAATCTCTAGATCCTTCTCCTCTCAGGCTAATGGCTTCAGTTCTAATGTCAACCTTGTCTTCTGAAGCCTGTATTCTTCTTTGGCTAATTCTGAAATACATGCATTTTTCTATAAGACAGTGTTTTCTTCAGCTGAAACCTCTTTTTTGCTCCTCTGGAGTACGTGCAGATTTCTGTTTACACGGCAGCTGGCATGAGAGGCACTGTAGTTAACAGTTTTAATGATCACTGAGAAAATTTAGCTACTGTTTGAAATTAAAGATCATTAGCAGCTTTCTAGCTGTCACTGCACTGTATTTGCAGCCAGCAATTGCAGTTGCTTTCCACTTTTCTGTCTTGGTTCAGCTCAGCTTCTTTTGACCAATGCTACTTGCTTCTTTATTACTTTGCAATCTCTTTGAACCTTGTTGGGAACTCTGAGCAACCCTGCTCTGGTCTAAACTACATCAGAGCTATACAGAGGGGGTATAACTGAACCATCTGATGTAATGCTTTTTTGTCTCCTTCATTTCTTCTGTCTGGCTCCCAATCTCTTTTGTCCCAGGAAAGAATATAGTTGCCACAAAGATGGAGCATACTGCTAAGGATAGTTTATGACTGACATTTTAGACAGCTAGGTACTTAATACGCCTTTCATTTACTTTTACAATCTTCACACATTTCTGCAATAAATCGATCAAAAATTACTGTCCGAAGCTGTGGGAACTATCTCAATTAACGTACAAAGAATACGTTTTTATTTCCAGACAGATCTGAACTGGGAATGGGTGAAAGGAAGCAGCGCTGGCTTGTCTGTGCTGTGCTGCTTCCTCCCGGTGCAGGAGCAGAGGGTTGCTCGGGGCAGCGTTGCTGTTCCCATCGCAACCGGTTTGTTTACCTTCCGTGCTGTTCTGAGCCACCTCCTGGGATATTTAGTCGTACATTTAAAAAGAAACTACGTGCTGCTGTGGTGGAGATTGAGGCTGGAAGAGAGTTGGGAGCAAACCTCCGCCAGTGAAGGGGAACTGAGGACGTGGTGCTTAGCCAGGGTTTGACCTTGGGAGCAGTATCAGCCAAGAGGTGTGTGAGGGAGAAGGGGGGATTGTTTTAAGGGTACATGTGCTGGAGTGTGCGCAGAGCTGTGTGTTGCTGAGGAGCAGCTGTGTGCATGTGGGGTGAGGAGTGGTCTCAGGAACACTGGATGAGCATAGTGCAAGAATAGGAGAACTGATAATCAAACTGCTGTGACTTTGTATATATTTTGGGCATTGGTTCCACCCTACATTGAACCAGTGCCCCCAGTATGCTTTGTTCTGCTTTAGCCCTTCCTAGGCTTTTCCATTTCTTCATTTACCTGCTGTATTTCCTCCATCAGCTTTTCAGGTCCCGTTTTCTCTTTTTTTTTTTTCCTCATTACCATTACATTTCTTTTTTACAACCTAGAGTTCATCCACCTCTCCAGCCATATTCTTAAAAGGTGTTTACTTCTCCAACCTGTGGGAGACTATTTATCTTTTATATTTGTTCACTTTTTCTCAATTTTCTGTGATTGTCCATTTAGTAATTCTGTCCTTCCTCACAGGTCTCCTTTTATTTCCCTTCCCTTCTCCCTCCTATCACAGACAGCCCATCTTTTCCTCTCAGTTCCACTTTCAAGCCTCTTTCTCTCCTCCTAGTTTCCATTCCCAAATTCTTCTGTTTCTTCATTCTCCCACTCCAAACTCTCTCCCCTACACCTTAGCAAAGTCTTGGGGAGACTTGAGCAAGAAGTCTTTTCTTTTCATACCTGTGTCATTTTGCAGGTAAAAGGGGCAAGAATTTTTTGCACCCTTATGGACCTGTCTTCTCCCCTTCTTGCTTCTGCAGCCAAATATAATGCTATTCCTGTTTTCAGGTTCCACATTCCAAGAACTGACCTGCATTATATGCAGAAACTTTCCAAAAAACAATGGCCAGACTGTTGCAAGCTACACCCAAGTTTCATCCCTCAGAATGGGACATTGCAAACAAGATGCAGTGTGCCAGTACAGAGTCTCAGAAATCCAGGTCAGAGCGCATGATAATTGAAAGTCGGAGGCTGCTGGATGAAATAGAAAAGACAACTCAGAAAACCCAAAGTGATGCCAACAAGAAAATAGGTAATCCCATGTGTTCTGCAAGTGTCAAGATCTGTTATTTGAGCTATATGTTTTAAGACGGACTTAGAAAATTAGTGGATAGTGAATAGGAATATATGTCAATGCCATGATCTCTGATCTCATGGAAAAATTCAAAATATTTTAAAAAATATTTTGAGGCAGAGTCTTTATTTTATAACAAATAAATTACTTCTCCAAAACACACAGAAAGCTATTCCAACCAAACCTCCCGACACAGGGTTGCAAAACTGTCTCTACACATCAGCCTGCAGCACTACATGCACTCCACTGTGGAATAAGTCTATTTTTAGCCGTATCTAAGATGTGACCCACAGTGCTCTGGCATATAAGATGGGCTTGCATTAATACCTGTTTGCAATTTTTGTTCTGCAGAACAGAGACGGGAAGAAATAAAATTCTGGAAGCAAGAATTAGATAACAAACTTGAACAAATTGTTCATGAGACAGAGGTACTACTGACTTTCAAGACTAGGCTGGAGAAATCTTTGGAGAGCTGCAAAGAGCCACTCATCATTGCCCAAAAGTGTCTCCTGAACAGGTGAGATGATTAAGAAGAAAAGTATTCAAGGAGAGAAAAAAAATCTAGGTAATGAACTTCTAACAAATAATAAAAAAGGCTGCAAACTAAAGGTCTGCCTCTCTTTGCAGTGGAGTCACAGTCTGATTTAGGTGTTATAAAACTGGGGAACCAAGGCCATAAAGGAAAAACTTCCCATGTGACAAGGAAAAGCCTTCGATTTGGAAAGCTGGGCTTCATCATGTTCTGTTAGCTGCAGGCATTTGAACAATGTGGCTGATGGCTTCTCCTCTTTTTGTTTAGGCAGAGGCGAGCTGGGATTGACTTGGTGCATGATGAAGTGGAACAGGAACTGGTGAAGGAAGCTGAAGTCCTCCAGGGGATTATTGCTTTGCTTGGACGTACATTGGAACAAACCAATGAGCAAATCAGGTGCAGAGGCAAAAAGCATAACTGAACACTGATTAGCTGAAAAGTAGGACAGCCATAATACTGAGAAGTTGTAGGGTCAGGCTGAGCACAGGTCCAAAGTTACCTTCAGTGCTACACAATTACAGGAGGTCAGTCCTAATTCATATCATTTGGTCTGTAATGGTGAGAAGTTCTGTTTGTGAGAACTCAAAGTACTTGCACATGATCCCTTGTCTTCTCATGATCCAGTCCGGTGCCTTTAATTCTAATGGGAATTGTACTATCAATTTATATGGAGGCAGCTTCATGCTCTAGATTTTGGGACTTAGCAACTAACAGTTCATACACGAAGAATTCCATAGCAGCATTTGTATTACCTAATGCATCTATGCATGCATGTTAGGGACACCTGTGAGTGCCTACACTTTGGCTCAGAGTCCGGTTGTTTCTCCTCCTAGATTAAACCGTTCAGCAAAATACAACCTGGAGATGGATCTGAAGGACAAGTTCACAGCTTTGATGATTGATGATTACTGTGCTAGTTTGACAAACAACACTCCTGATATCAGCTACACTGATAATGCAGTGAAAATAGAAGGAAAGTAAGTGGTTATTTAGTTTAATGAATGTATTATAATAATACAGCTAGTATGAGCTCTTCCAGTAATAGCAAGATTAAAGTAATTTTGTGTAAAACAGACTATATCTGTCCATCCTGTTGTAGATTGTTTTTTATACTTCTGTCCATCACTTTAGTATCTGTGTAATATGTCTGTGAAATAAGCCACAATAATCTTGTTCCCAGTGAACTGCAGTTTACTGAAGGCTTTTGAGGCTCACAGTTAGCTAAGGAAAAATTACACACATTGCTTAAACCCAGAATAGATTTACTAATCTAACTTCCGCTCCTCTCCCAGGGTGTCCTAGTGAGCAGAACACTGGACTGGGACACATGAGGTGTGGAATCAGTTTCTGACTCAGTCATTATCCTGTCAAATGCGCCGCTTCTGTGTGAGTGAGTTAGTGTGAATGGTTTAGATGGAGAAATAGCTACCACAGAAAAACAGGCTGAAAAGAGGAAACATACTGAGAAAGCAGCGCGCATGAGACAGTCTCCCAAGGACACTATTGGCTCTGTGAGAAATGACAAACTTGGAACACCAAGAGACTGACAGCTCTTGCTGCTAGCACGTTAGCTTGTATCAACAACAGGTTGTATAACTCAGACCACACCCAGAAAGGTATTGGATGCTATATGCAAATGACAATTACAGCGTTATATATCCACCCCATGAAACAAGGAACCCTCTGAGGAACTTTCCAAACACCTGCCTGCAAGCCACTGGTGCACAAGTATGACCCTCTAATTCTGGGGATGTAGTTGGGGGTTGGCTTCCCAACTATTGCTCCAACCAGATACTATAGGTGACTGTCTTATAGGTGGTGAGCTGTGTGAGAGAATAAATGAATGTTTTGTGTGAATAGTTACCTGCTATTAATAGTAACAGCTGAATTATATTAGTAATAAGAGCTTAATTAATGAAAGGTGTTCTAAGAAATACTGGTTATCATCTGTGTTTCCCCCACAACAACTTAATCCTTTATCAGGGAAAGGAAAGTTATAACAAAGTTGCTCTGTGACTTTAGCAAATTAGTTTCCATCCTACCCTTGTCTACTTTGTTCTGAAATGTTTGCGACAGAGAGGGTCTTTATTTTGCATCTGTGGAATTCCCAGCACAACTGGCACTCATTGAGATGTGCAGTTAATAGTACTGCTTTGTTCTCAGTTTTGTGGAGTAATTATAGATTTATGAAGTCACAGAGGGCCTGATGCTGCCAACTGATGACCTTTTATTTTGAATCTCTTTCAGTTTTGTTAGCCCTGAAGACTGGATAGATTTCTCAAACATAAATGTTGAAAAGGCTGACAAGCAGAGAAACAATTCTTTGGCACTGAGGGCGCTGATTGATGGCATCCTCTCACAGACAGTGAATGACATGCGCAAGCAATGTGAGACAGTGAATGTCGCGTTTAGAAATAGGGTGAAGGAAGTCAAGGATGCCAAGCACAAGCTAGAGACACTCCTTGCAACGGTAGGTGGTAGGGGACAATCGGCAAAAAGTGGAAACAATGGGCTTGGGTTATCTACCAGTTTTCTCAATCCAGTGGCTTGAACTACTTTGCTTGAAGAATTTTACCTTTGCAATATTGGCAACCCCTGCCACATTTTCCTTACTGTTCCCCCCACGCAAAGTCATCTTAGATTTTATTTTCTTAGCTCTGTGTGCACCACTACAGAGGTAAATTTCTGGAATCACTCAATGTAAGTGTTGCTGTAGACATCAGTAAAGTCAGGATTTCCCTTGTGATTTGCCTACATGAGGATCCTATAGAATTTTCATGATTGTGATATAGGAGCCTAATAACTTATAAAGACAGGGTCAAAGTGCTCGAAATTTGATACAGGAAAACTCAGGGTTAATGCTAAAAATTAATTGCTGAGCGTAAATCTCCAGTTTCACTCAGAACAGTGTCACCTGCTTTCCAGTGAAGGAATCATAATCCTGGCTGACCTTTGTAAAATATCTTCTGATGAAATAACATCTTAACATAATGAGTGCTACTGTGATTGTTATTACTATAACTGTTAAAGATGATGTTGATGATTTCACCCAATGTAAGAGAGAGTGTGCAGCACTTCCTTATGTTGGATTTGTTAAGGTGATGGATGAGACTGCCTCACAGGAGAAGAACATTGCAGCCTTAAAGAAAGCAATCACTGATAAAGAAGGACCTGTTAAAGTGGCTCAAACCCGCTTGGAAGCAAGAAGCCATCGCCCCAATGTGGAATTGTGTTATGACACGGTGCAATACAAGCTGATTAGTGAAGTTCAAGAGATTACAAAAAACATTCAAAGGCAAGTGGAAATTATGAAAGAGGGGAAAATCTGTGGTATAGATCACTGGGTTAATTTAATGAGTCAAAGTAACATTGGGTCCCAGCTATTCTCCCTGAAAGGTTGGGAATTGTTTTTCCCTTAAGGGCAGGACACTTTAAGGGAAGCTGCATGGATATTGTCTCTCTGTGAATCCCATTCCATCTTTTTTTTTCGCTCAGAATTCTTATCCCATATCAAAAAAACCTATCCGTGTGTTTTCAACTGATGTCTGTCTGTATTTTCCCTGTTAGATTAAAGGACACACTGGCACAGGCAGAGACAGAGCTGAAAGGTCTGAACCGCCGACAGCTTTCCTTGGAGGAGGAGATCCAGGTCAAGGAGAATACATTGTACATTGATGAAGTGCTCTGCATGCAGATGAGAGAGTCTGTTTACATTAACAACTTCTGAAGCCATCATACTGGGAGATTGTTTGCTGAAATTTTATTGACAAACCTCCAGATTTATTGCTTTGGCTCAATGCTGTCCTAGTTCTAGTTGTGCAAGGTAATTAAAACAGACCTAGTACTTACAGCTATCTGTTTCACAGCCATCTATGCTCTAGAACGCCTGATGAAATCTCCCACTTGGCAATAAGGTTCCAGAATAAGAAGAAATGTCCCTTCTTTCATATTATTTATCTCTTGTGCAACCAGTATCTTTTGCTGTTGAAAGGTCTAGAAGCTGTGGAAGCTAGAGCAGGAGTTGCCTCGTAAGACACTTGTTGGAAAGCTGGGCAAGTGGGAGGAGTGACTCTCAGGACTAGCCATGGTATGTTTTGTTGTTAACATCCGCATTAAGAACTACGCACAGGATGTATATCAAACTTAACAGGAGGTAGGGACTGGTGATACACTGGATAGTGCATCTGACTGCATCTGAGTCAAGATCAAGCCAAGACTGACTTTGGGCTAATCATTTCCTCACCCCATGTCTCAGTTTCCCTATTTGTAAAATGGAAACAATGAGATGGGCTTCATTGGTAAGGTGTTTGAAGCTCTACGATGAGAAGTGCTAAAGAAAGAGGAGGGCTTTATTTTTACTAGAGATGCCTCTAAGGGTGGAAAAGGGCTCACTGCTTCCTTTGGTTCTGGTGAGGAAAAACAAAGCAAGGTTAAGAATAAATGATGCCGGAGACATAGGAGGCTGTTCCCAAGTCCAACATTTTAATGCATGGGATGTAAAATTGTCCCTTGCTCTCTCTTGCTGCAATGGTATCTCCCTTTCAGAGGCACTGCTGTCAAGATTCAAATCCCTTACTAATGCCCTCCAAAGGATCCGTTCATTGCTTGCAGATGTCACTGGGTGTTCTTCTCTCTCCCTGTGGTTTACACCATTGGGTAGGTTATGACAAAATAATTAAGCTCCGAGTCAATCAGGTATCTGAACTTCCTGTAAATATCGCATAACAGCCGATCCTCCTCACTGGTGTCTTGTCGGGCTGTGTAAATCCTGACCTGTATGCATGAATGACAATCATGTCTTTCAGATAAGTGGAGCAGGCTCAGCCCATTAAAGCTCATGACAAGAAGAAGCCTTTGTGACTAATGAGGAATCTAGAGAAGCCAAATTCCTTGGCTTTGAGTAAAATCTTGAGGTTTTACTCTGTTTTCACTCCAAACTGACTGAAAACATCATCTCCTGCCAAAGAATTTTTGGGAAGAGCAAGGTTCCTTTTATCCCCAGAACTGATGCATCCCTGGGATCTGCACAGATCTGGGATGATCTACTGAATTCAGAATCTACCATGCAAAGTAGCATGACAGCATGGTTTACACCAACTACAGCTGTGGTCTGGCCCCAGTTGAACACAGCATCCCTACAGAGTGAGATGCGTTTATATCATTTTGCAGTTTAGTGGGATTCAACCCACATGCCTCAATTTAAGCATAGACATAAATACAGGGGCTGGGAGGTGACTGAAAATCCCTAGCTTGAACTAGAGGTGGCAGAAGGAACCCCAGTCTACGAAGGACTTGTGGAATTGTTGGGGCTTGTTATTAAACCTCTATAGTATTCTGTATATGGCTAAGTAGGTTGGAAAGCCCCATTTCTGTGAGTGGTTCTCAGGCTCCTTATCATACAAAAACATAATATAGGGAAGGTAGTTATGTTAACATTTCCATAAGTGACCTTTCTATGGGCATGGGGACCTCACCTTTCTCTGGATATTGAAGAGAGGAAGGGAATGGGAGTTTTGAAGCACAAAAAGTCTTACCTTTATGGTAGTCAAAATGCATTTCCTTTCTGCACGGTTTTGTAGCAGCCTCTCCATAAAGGTGACATTTAGAAATGCCCAGACTTTCAGAAATAACAACCTCTTGCATGATAAGATGAGCTGTAGCAGCTCATCATCCAGTAGCTCATGGTCATTGTTTAATTCAAGTGTTAATTCCTTGAAAAAAATGAACAGTTAGTACTACTGAACAGAGCTTGTGAGCGCAGTAACTATAATTCAACAAAGTTTCCCAATTTTACCAACAGAAGTGACTGTTGGTACAACAGTGTCAGCAGATCAATTTTGTACCTTGACATTAGCAGAGAATCAGTTTTGTATTATGAAAACAGTATATGTTACAGTAATCTCCACTCTCATGTTAAGATGGGGGGGTCCCTTGTGCTTTACATACCACCCTAAGAGATAGACATTAGAAGATGCTACACCCACAGCTCATGCCATGATCTTATTTCACATAATGGAAATTATCCCAGATACGAGAGCAGATCCAAAGACAATTTCTAGAAAGCTTTACAGCTCTCTGATGTTTATTGAAAACTCTGCAATGCAACAGAACTTAAAGAAAGCTGTCAGCAACCGTCACGTATAAGGCTGTGTGCTTCCCTCAGGCATGTGAAGACCTGATGCTCATTTACATGGGTCAGCTGTTGCACACCTTTGGTGACACATCCTTGGTGACACCAAAGTGCTTTAACATGGACACCAGTTAATTTACATGTGCTGTAAGACATTTGCGCATTGCCAAAATGGAGCAAAACCATCAGTATATGTTGATGCAGGCTACAGGTCTGTAAGCAAACAAGGTGTACAGACTATTTTCCTTATATGCAGATTTCCCTGCAAAAGAGTGGGGTTCAGAAAAATCTGAAAGGATAAGAAAGTTATCAGTTACTAAACATGAAGGTGGCTAACCAGAATAAGCCTAAAGCTTTCTTATAAAAATGACATTTTCCTGCCTGAAAGGTTCTTTTTGCTCACAGCTGACATTACAAACACCAGTATTTTGGGTGTTCTAGCTTTTTAGGAGGGCAACCTGACATCAGCCTGACAGCGAAGACTAGCATAATGGGGATTGTAACTGGACAAGGATAATTACCTGAACTAGACTATAGCTGGAACACTGGAATGGCTCACTTATGAAAATTACCCTCTGAACATAAAACTGAAGTGGTCAAGAATTCTTGTTGATGACTGCTGTTATGCAGAAGGCCTATATGATTACTTTGCTTAGCTTTGTGATACTGCAGTAAGATGTCACTATTGTTTCCCTTACCTGCAGAACATGCCCGTAGGCTGGGAGGAGGTTGGTAAGGGTAGGTTTCATTGTCCAGTCTGGGTCACTGAAATAGCAGCTCCGTAGACTGATGCTCCTGACTGGGATCTCCACTAGCAGGATCCTGGCTAGGTGATCATGCTTCATGACTCTTTCAAAGAAGAAGTTCACGTTCAGTTTTGGGGCGCTCTTGGCCAAGTTTGCCCACGACATTCCCCAGACCACTTGCCCATGAGGGTCATGGTTATGACATTTGATATTCAAGGTGCAGAGGGAATGAGCACTGTGCTCTCGCAGGATGTCCAGCAGTTCATCAGAGATGCAGTTATAATTGAAAGTGAGGGTGACCAGGCTGTGGAACTTGGACATAGTTTGGTGGAATAAGGTGCTGCTGTAGACAAGAAGGTGGCGACTGAAGAAATCCTCTATATTGATTTCAGATATAAAGCTTTGATTTGTCAAGCAGCTCAGAGAATTCAGAAGCTCACAGCCTTCTTCCAAGGTTACTCTTGCTCCTTTTAAGTTGAGATAATCAAGCCGTTTGCTCATTCTTTTCAGGAAGGTAGCTAAGTTCTTGATAAACTGAGCCCTGACCACATTTTTCCAGATCAAGCGGTCTAATTCCAGGTACTTCATGCTCAAGGATACTAGGCGACTGTTACACTTACTCAGGTGTGAAAGAAGGTCTCTCATAGTCACTTGAACTTTTTGAGTAAAGGCAGTATTGTAAGGATTTGATAACTTGATCTCAAGGTGCTCCAAATACTTGGCAAATTTCTTGACATACCACAGTGCATTTTGAAGCTCCAATGTCTGTTTCCTTGATGGTCGGCCATAGAATGTGATGGTTCTGCTTCTCCAGAGGGATCCTGAGTGCATAGCCCAATTCCATTTTTTACAGACCAAGGCAGCCTGAGATCTGTCCCTGTCATCTAACCAATGGAAGACACGCCTCAGACAGACATCAGGCAGATGAGCCCAGGAGCTCTGCTCAGGTTCACTGTCATCTTCCATTGAGAAGACAGCTTTTCACTTGTCTTCTGGGTGTTGAGCCAAACCTAGATGAAGCAAGCTGTGGGTAGATTTCTTGGCATTCCCAACAGAATAGGCTTCCAAGCAAATAGATGAAAGTTTGCTTCTTCACATTCAAAACCAACAATCCTTTCTTTGCCTCTATACACAAGCTGCCAGGGTCCAACAAGCTCTTAGGTCTAAAACTGTAGCTCTTGGGTCTAACCTAAATCAAAAGAAAAAAAACAATGAGTGGAGAACAATCACAGTACAAGCACAGGACACATCTTTTAGCTTTTTGGCCTTCAGTCTAGCTAAACAGTGAAATGGTATCAATTGCTGATAGAGCAGCCACAGCCTCTAGAAACCTTTGGTTAGCATCACCTGTAATTGGTAATGGTTTGTGGCCTGATGCCTAGCGTCTAAAAGTATCCAGTGCTTTGGGCTGTACACATTTGAACAGTACTGTCGGCACAAAACTAGTGCAAATTACTTTTCTTATCCTTCTGGGGTACTGTACGATGACAATCATCTAAGGTAGTACCCTGCCACAGATTAAGGTACAATCCCTGTTGAGAATAATAAGCAATATAAGCTGTTCCATTGCTTGCTTCAAGCAGGATGTTCAGTCATTGTGCTCCAAGGGACAGGGAGAAGGCTGGCGAGTCAGGAGACCAACTGGGTAGTGGTAAAACACGTAAGGAAACAACGACAATGCAAGAAGTTACCAGTTCCACTCTCAAGGCTGGACTGTGTAGGTATTCAGTTCCCTCCGCACTTTTCCAGCTCTCATAGTCTCCCTCCAGAGTTCAAGATTTGTTTTCTCTACCTCGGACCCCGCCCTCTGCAAAGTTCAGCCATTGCCATGGAGCAAAGAGGTAACGGTTG